TCCCTCTTATTTATAGCCTTCTGTTAGGTACTTTTAGACAGCAGTTAAGAGTTCCCTTGCCCTTTATCCTTCTCGTGAGTGACTGCTCTCTCAGCCTTTCTCTCTACCTCTTATGTTTCAGCCCTCTAATCATCTTGACAATTTTCCACTGTGCTTGTTCTAATATATCTGTATTTTTCTTGCAGTGGGGAACCCCAAACTGAAAAGTACTCCAGATATTTCTCCCTGAGAGAGAAGGGGAGTAAAGGGAATTAATCATTTCTTTGACCTGCTGACAACAGTCTTAGTAACTTACTGGAGGAAATGTTTTCACTGTGCTGCTTGTTTAAATAATAATAATGGTGATGGTGACAATGGTAATGATGAGTCTGTGTAAGGGCTATGGATGGTATAGGGTATTTCCTCTTTATTCTTTTACTTGTTATAAAGCTGGTTTTGTCACGTTCCAGAAATTGAACCATTTTGTGAAAGCAATGTGTTTTATAAAAATGAAAACTTCAGGCTGGAACAATGAGAAGTATCAAAGCATCAATTGCTGATGGTATTGTAGCAACTTACTGGAGACAAAGTGTAATTTATTTATTGACTCAGATTTCTTTAAGATTACAAATTTATTCTGAGACAAGAATAAATGCTAAGATTATATATATGAAAGACGTAGGCAAGGGCATAATGGAAAACCAACTCCTTTGTCATAAAACCATATAGATTTACTGCTACACAGGGTATGTGGGAGGACAATATTAGTTCAGAATCTGGAAATTCAGGTCAGTGAGTGAATGGAATATTTTCAATGTGAATACTTGAAAAAAGATTTAATTGTGACCGAAAAGTGTACATATATTTAAAATATTTGCAACATGAGAGTTTGTGACATGCCCCAAGAAACAAACAGATTCTGGAGCCCTCAAATCATTAGCTTTGTGTCAGCAGATGTAAGAATAAAAGTAAGGAGTGAAATCACTGCCTTAAAGGCATCAGTGTGGAAGTAAGTTATGTTCCATGGCACTCTCCCTGGCTGCGGTGGCGGGGGGGAAGTAATTGAGAAATTCTGAACATAACGTGATGAATGTGAATGCTTTGCATGAATGATCTTTGGTTTTCTGATAACATCTTTTTAAAGGCAAAAAGAAGGATTGGTATGAAGGGTAGTTAGAGACTTGAAAGAGAAAGAAATAATAAGAAATATCAAGTGTTTAAGATTTATCAGGATTATACTCATCGTTGCACATCGATGAAGAAAATCTGTGAAAAGCCTTTTTGGCAACAATAGTATCAAAGGAATCTCCTACTATAATTCTTTGAAAACATTAAACTGAATATATAACTCAAAGTTAACTGGTATGTGAAATACTGAGTAGCAGAGCTGGAGCAAACCTTATATGTTCTTTTGTATTATCTTAAGCCTAAAAGATAAGATGAACAAACAAAAATGCCCATTATTAAATGACAACTGCTTTATAATAGATGTGTTGGAAGCCTGATGGAAGGAGAATAATCACTGGTGTATGATGTTAATATGCTGCCAACTTTGCTGGAATGATTAGACCTACAGGCAGGGGTGTGGCACTTTGCATAAAAGATAGCATGAAAATCTTGTGGGGGGAAAAGAAACCTACTGTGTAAAACCTTCTGAATGGAAATTCCTTCTAATAATGTAATATTATACTGTGTTAATAGCTCTCGAATCAGGTGATGTTTTTGATGAGAAAATGTTAAGTGAGATTAGAGAAGCTGCAAATTTTGTGGCACTAAAGTGGGAGATTTAACTACTCACATATGGGTTGAATACATTCCTCATCAGGAAGTTATGAGAAGATAAAAGCTTTGTCTGCAACAAATGACGGTTTCCAGTATTCCTGTAACCAATGTGAAAAGGAACTGTTCTGGCAATGGGCTTGTCACACACAGGACCTAGGAGGTCAGAGTAGAAGAGGAGGAGAGAACAATCAGTATCTTAATGTACCAGGAGAGAACAATCCAAGTAAATCTATTACACAAGTATTCAACTTCAGGACAGGGAACTGCATGAAAGATGCAGGTGGTCAAGCAAGCAAGATACCCATGCCTACTAGCAACCCAGAGGCTATTCTGAAAATCCTATCTTAAAGATTTGAGTAAACTTTGTATTGTAATTCAGAAAAAGCCCAACTAAAGCTATGAGTTAGAAAGTGCATGTGACTCCATAGGAAAGTTAAAGACAATATCGCAAGGAAAAGGATAGCGTTAAAA